GGTTCAGAAAATTCAAGAAACTCATCCAAGTCACACAGCTAATGAGGGGTGGATTTCAATTTAGGTTTGTCCAGTCAAAGCCATGTTCTTTATTACTGGGCCATACTGCTTTTTCCACACACACAAACAGATATTTCCTCTTGAGATGGACAGAGAAGAAAGGGGTGGATGAGGTTATACAGAGGTCAGAGGTTAGAGGGAACGGAACCAAAGGGAGGGAAGGGAACCAAAGTCAACTTGACTGTAAAGAGCAACGTGTGGCCATCTTGAAAGTTCATAGTTGTAGGAGGACAGGGATGCAGAGAAGAGCTTGAAGGGAGTGGAAAATCCTGGGACACACACAGTGCTCAAAGCAGTCACTGAAGTCCAGAGGGCTGTGCAGTGCAGGGGTGAGGGGCCAAGCAAGGTCAGAGCAGCACCATTGGTAGTGGTACCCATCAGACAGCAGATATGTAAGATAAGTTACCTGGGTTTTATGGATTCCACATACTTGCCCAATTCCACTGTGCCTGACATAATATTGCATAGACTATTGAGATGCTTCAGTGAAATAGTAAATTAAGGGCATTTTCAAAATTTAAACATTAGAGATGGACTTTAAGGATTATTTTAAGTTATGAATACACATACACAAACACACATATATATATATATTTTTATATATATATATATATTTATTTATTTATATAGTTGTTGTTGAGGAAGATTGGCCCTGAGCTAACCTCCATGACTCTATTGTTTTTTTTTTGTCGAGGAAGATCAGCCCTGAGCTAACCTCCATGACTCTATTGTTTTTTTTTTGTCGAGGAAGATCAGCCCTGAGCTAACATCCATGCCAATTCTCCTCTTTTTGCTGAGTAAGACCGGCTCTGAGCTAACATCTATTGCCAAGCCTCCTCTTTTTTTACCCCAAAGCCCCAGCAGATAGTTGTATGTCATAGTTGCACATCCTTGTAGTTGCTGTACGTGGGATGCCCCCTCAGTATGGCCGGAGAAGCAGTGCGTCAGTGTGTGCCCAGGATCCTAACCCAGGCCGCCAGTATCGGAGCACATGTACTTAACCGCTAAGCCACGGGGCCGACCCCAACCGTGCCTCTATTTTTTGTATGTGAGACGCCACCACAGCATGGCCAGATGAGCGATGTGCAGGTTCAAGCCCAGGAGTTGAACCCATGAACCCCAGGCCACCAAAGTGGAGCACACACACCTAACCACTAGGCCGGCCCCCACACACATATATTTTTAACCTTGTCTTTTCCAAAAAATGATTTGTGGTGGAATAAGCATTCACACAATCACATTCCTTTTCAACAGTGTTCTGGTGGATCAGCATGCAGACCTGATAGATATTATTAGAGCTGATAAGATGCTCAAGAAGACACAGCTGTGATAAAAGCAGTGCTGAGGGTGAGAGAAACAAAAAAGTGTGGCTAGAAGCTCTCCAATTTTTCTCTTCTTTGTAGGGAGGTCAAAAAGTCTATCACGCAAGATTAAAAGTTTAATTAAATATGTTTAAAATCTAGTTTTAAATGTAGTTTCAGTATCCATTGAACACTTTGAATTCTCCAAGAAGATAATAAATCTTGGTTGCCATAGGAATTTCACTTCCTGAAATGTGATTAAAAGTAGGCTTTTGTTATCTGGCAAAACTCATTATCTGGATTAATTGTCAATAACGGTAGAGAGATTTCCTGTTCAAAGCCATAAGAAGGAAGGAAATTAGCATTTGCTGGGTCACTATGAATGCCAACCACTGTTACTTATTTCTCAGGCATGGTCTTGTTGACTTTCTTTTCTTCTAAAACTTCAGGTGAGCATTATCACTCATTTTATATATGAAGAAATTGATACACAGAGATCAAGTATTTGTGCAAGAACACAGAGCCAAGAAAGCAGGAAGAGCCAAGGTCTGTGGCTCCAAAGTCTTTAAAATTGACACCATAGTCGATTGTTCTCTCCAATAATACTGAGAGGAATGCATGATTTATTTTCTAAAATGGAATTATCAATATTTAAACATACTACTTATTGAAGGTTGGAAGGATTCCATGGAGCAATACAATCTTTTAAAAATGTTAAAATGAATGTTTAAGATATTAAGCAAAGTTGCTGAAGGAACTATAACTTTGTTCTAGAATTACTGGGAAATATGACATCATGGATGACAGCGTCTGTACACAAGTGTTGTGGCCTCCATCGAAGAGAGTTTTAAGGGAAAGAAATCCTGGAAATGAAATTTCTGCTTCCTCGGTCCAGAGGGCTTGTTGTTTCTTTGCCTTTAGCCTCACACGGTGACATCATTCTAATCAGAAAGGGAAGAACGCCTTGCCAAATTTAGAACGTATTTGAACTTTGTGATTTCATACATTAGAAATAATTCCAATCTTCAGAAGTCAGTCTGTGAACTATAAAATAAAAGAACATGACTTCCTTTTTCCAAGGAAACTATGTCCCAACAGCTTCTTGGACCTCACACTTCCTCTACAAAGCCAGACTTCCGTGAGCAGTGTGAGACCATTAGAAACACACGTGCCAAACTGTCCCTGGACCTAACGCTTTCAAAGGAAACACTCAAGTGCTCCCATGATAAATACACCAATCTGGGGATTTGCATACACATCAAACAAGGCTAAAAACGAAGAATTTAACACCTTTACGGGAGTAGACATTCGTGTTCATGAATTCTAAGGCTTAGTACTCACGTTAATGACTTTTTTTTAAAAAACCAAGTCTAACTATAATTTAAGATAAAACATTCCCTTCCAAGCAGCTTCCAGGTTCTTCCAAGCAGCAAAGCCCCCTCAGAATGGGAAAAAACAAAACAAAACACATTGAAGATGGAAAAAATCATTCTTTTCACATAGGCACTTCCATTTAGGTTTACCTGAAAGATGAGATAGGCTGGGATGGTTTTTATATAAGAAACGGCTATCAGGATTTTATGCATGTCTTAGAGAAACTGAAATTGATTCACACTTGATAAATAGGGTGTCACGTGATACAAATACAATAAGAACTTATAAACTGTTGTATTTGAATATCAACACTTTATCAACCCATCTCCTAAGGAATTTGCACTCTGATTTATTTCCATGTTATTGGGCACTGATTGTAATTGTTTTTGTTTGTATTTGGGAATGCATGCAATCTCAAAAGATTTACCCTAGAATCTTTTCCAGAGGGTTTGGTGAGACAATAGCTATTGTCCTCTTGATTTTATCTTTGCATATAATTTTATCCATGATCAATAGATCTGAAAAAAATTAAAGAAGTTTTGAAATCCGTAATCTTATGCCCCAGTTCTTACCCCATGTATTCTTATATCAGCGCTCCTAACTGTATAATAGCATCTTTGAGAACCCCTGGGTTCTGTTCACCTCATCGTAAGTGATCATTTCTGAAGCAATGCAGCTCCTCACCGTCAGAGATAGGTCCACTTCCAGGGCAGGATTACCATGTTTTGGCAAAAAACAGTGAAGCTTTGAGTGTGTAGAGTATTTTAAATCAATCTAATCTTTCATAACAGCACAATTTCTCTTTTATTTTTCAAGTCCCCAAAGGATAAGGGATGGTTATTGAACTGAATATAAAGAGATCAGTAGATTATTTTTCTAATTGGTTGTGTTTTCCTCTTTGGGCGGCTCTGATGTTTTTCTTCTGATTTGAATAGGATCTTTCAAGTAGGAGTGAGGGGAATGTGAGAGCCACAACTTTTGTGCATTTCTGTGCACCTTGGCTTTGTAAAGACAGGATTGTATTACTGTGACATTTAAGGAGGAAAAAACAAGCTGTTCTGAACTGTGTCGGTCTCAGCTGTAATCTATTTTTGGACCATGGACTATAAGGATATTCCTGTTCACACAGAATTAGTGAGCTACCCTCTGGGGGGTTCTACCCTTACAGCTGCTTGGCAATAAACAAAGTTAGCAGAGAGAGAATAATTAAAAATTAACTGCACCCAATTGGCACCGCATTGCTTTCGTTTTGGCATGCTTGTTTGATGAGGTCCTTTTCAAGTCTTTGTAACTGCTATATAAAATAAGGCCTCTGGTGATCAACAGCTCTAAAAAAAAGGAGGTGGCAGGGAGTCATCCACCTTGGTTGTCCTCAAATCCTCTTTCCCGGATTTTTACTTCTCAACCTTGTTGCAGTTTCATAACTCCTGGGGGGATATTGGACAAACAAAAAGCTGGTACTACCATCACCAGATCGAGAATCCAGAAGCTCTGATTTTCCTGCTAATCCTTAAATTGCTATGGAAACTTTCCTGGCTCTTTAGCTCAGCCAAGGCATGATTAGACAGCTTTCAGAGATGTGGTTTAACATTTGAATAAGAAAGAGAGAGAGAGACAGAGAGAAGCATACAAAACAGAGAAGCAATTTAGTTACTCATATAAATTTCTAAAGCAATTATTGGCCATGAATTTATTTAGCTCCACTCACAGGATTGAAGGGTTATTGCTCCTGCTGAGTACCCAGTTTTAAAGGAGAGACCCATTCTGCGCACCCTTTGTTATATTATTCCACGAAGGACCAGCTATCTACCCAGTGGCAAGTTGATTATATTGGACTCTTCATAGTGAAGAGGGACACTGTTTATTTTACAATACAGTAGTGAATTTTCCCTCACTTGCTGTAACAATTCTGCCAGAATCACCATACGTGGACTTTCAGAAAGTCTTCTTAACCACTTCCAACAAATACTTCTTCTTATAGCAGAGAAAGGAGGCAGAGAGCTCACACCTATGACATCGACTGGCATTACCAGGAGCCTTATCATCCTAAAACAGCTGATAGAATGATAGATCGGCCAGGAGACAGCACACTCTAAGTTTGGGTTGCGGTCCTAGAGAATTCTGTTTGACTCTGATTGACAGCCAATGTGTTGCGCTGTCAACACCATGGTAAGAATTCGGAGCTGTTGGGAGCCATTACCTTGGGAGCCAAGGTAAGAGCAGCCCCTCTCACTGGCATGTTAATAGGCCAGTAAAAGTAATTTGCTCCCCGTTCCCACAGTCTTGGGCCTTACAGGGTTTAAAGGTTAATTTTGACCAAGAGAATAATGTTTCACCAGAGAACACAGTCACAGTTCTATCAAATTGTACGCCAGGTCAGCCCACATGGCCTGCCTGGGATCCTCATACTGTTGAAAAACAGGTAGGAAATGTATTTGTACACAGTGCTTTTAGTGAGCATATAATATATACACATTATATGTAAATATAAAAACAGATGCAAATTATATATATACAATAAAAATGCCTTGAAAGAAAAAGAGAGAAATGCCTCCTTGTTAAGTTATTTGATTTAATAAATTTTAAGAATAAAAGACATAGTGTTTAGCTGCATATGATCTGTTTTCCCAATGGGTTCTGCCATTTGTTAATAGTCTGGCTATGGACAACTAACTTAATCACTTTTTGACTTGATTTCTTTGACTGCAAAATGGGACAATCGTAGTAGATATCTCTTAGGATTATTAAGAAGACTAAGTGACATAATTTATATAAAGTCATAATTCATGTGAAGTGCTTAGGGCCTCTTTCAAAGGAAATACTCAATAAAAATGATCTACTACGCTCATATATTTATAGAGATATATTTATGCACATATATGCATATACATATCAAACACTAACGATAGATATAGATAAAGTGACTATTTATCATGTATTTTTTGAATATTTTATTTCTAGGAAAATCACAGTGGAATTATAAACTTTCCTTAATAATGTTTTTCAATTTAAAATTTACAGTTTAAAAGTGACAGGCATGAAAGTAACAAATTGTTTTAGGTAGATGTAATATATCCTCTGAACAATGTCAAGAGAAACAACCAAATATATTACTGTTTATGGAATTGAAACTTTAAACCTTTAATAGATGCTTAACTATTTTACATTCCCTATATTATCCCCAGAATGATTTTTCATTTTGTTCTCTAGATTCTTAAATATTAATAATGATGTTAAAATTATCATTCCTAAAAGGTTCTTGAGGTTATACATTTTGTCAACCTTCAACTTTCAGCCACATTTTTCTCACTGTTCTAGAATTTATAGGGCAGAATTTCCTAGGAACACATCTAGGGCCATTTTTTTTTTAATGGTTATATGGCTTTTTTAAAAGTTTAGGTTGAACTTGGTACAGATTTTGTTTTAGTAAATCACTCCCTTAGAATGTCATTCCTGGGATGGCAGCTCTCTCAGCCCAGCCTTCTAACCCACGGACTGCCTTGATGTGGGAATTGTAGCACTATAATTAATCCTGAAGCACCCTGAAATACTCGTGATCATTTCATGGAATGTTTTTTAGCTATATAATTCCTCCCACACTGGTGCTCAATCTGTGCATTTTCCGAATATGGTTGCCAAAGAAGAAATGCTGATGAAAATAAGCTTGAAATAGACAAGGGAAAAGGAAAGTAAGTGAATTTAAAAGTTTAATGAGAACCAAAATAACTGAATGGGGTTAGGAGATTCTTTGCCAGTTTTTGGCCAATTGCAATTAATCAAGCCAGCTGTTATTAAGACTGAGAAGGGAGAATTTCCTCTCTTAAAGGTCTTGTAAGCCTCACAAACTCCGACTGAAAAATATTTGAGTTATAGACTATTAAAACTATAAGAAAATGTTGATATTAAAAGTCAAAACACTCAACGGATAGATACAAATACTAAAACTTAGAGATGTGAAGTGATTTTCCTAACATCTCCGGCATGTTATCAGTAAAATCTGGACTAAATTCAGGTTGAGTTTTCCATCCAATGGTCCACATGATATACTGTATCTCAGATGTATATCTACTGTCCTATTTTAGCCATAGCTTAATATTTATAATGATGATTTCAAGGTACATGGTTAAATTAACTTCAAAAAGTGGAGGTAGGGGGGAAACATTATTTATGGTGGAATGCCAACTAATAAATGCAGTAGGAATGATAGAGGTGGTAAAATCACCATTTAGCAACCACAGTAGTAATAATTGATCCAGGCAAGAGTAGTCAATGGATGCTAAAACCATTTGGTAAAAGTTTGTGGGGGGAAAAGGATATTTGAACAGCCTCAAGATATCTCCCCAGAGATTGCTTGCTCACAACAAAGGGAAAAGCTGCCTTTATAGTGCAGAGAGCTGGCAGACGCCACCATTGCCCCATGACTCAAGTTAACATTCCAAGAATGGGACAGATGTGTGTCTCCCAGTGTGACGAGCTGAGAGTGCACAACTCAGGAAGCATCTCTGCCAACAAACAAACAAACAAACAACAGACTCTTGAGTCTAGTCATAAGGAAGCAATCAGAAATCCATAAATCAGGCAACAATTTGGAAATGTTTCTCAAAAAAACATAAATGTCATAAAAGACAAAGATTGAGGAGTTGTTCCAGAAAAAGACTAAAGAGATGTGGTAGCGAAACGAAATGGTTGATTCCGGATTGCATGTTGACTTGAAAAAAAAGTGTTGAAAAAGAACTTTAATAGAAAAATTACTGAAATATGAATATGGAGTCTATAATACACACTGGTATTGTATCATGATAAATTTTCTGAGTTTGATCATTGTCTTGTAGATATGTAAAGTGATGGCTTTGTTCTTAGAAGATAGATGAGGAGGTCTTTAAGACTGAAGGATTGGGAAGTCTGCAACTTACTCTTCGATGCATTGGCAATAATAATGAGAATGATACTTTGAAGGAGGAGGAGGAGGAGACAATGATAATGATACACATACATTCAGAAAGAGAGAGAAATAAAGAGGAATTAACAACTAGTGAATCTAAATGAAGGATATACAGTTGTTCATTGTACAATTTTTGCAACTTGTCTATAGGTGTGAAATTTCTTTAATAAAAAGTGTTAAAAACATGGGGCCGGCCCGGTGGTGGTGTATTGGTTAAGTTCACACACTCTACTTCAGTGGCCTGAGATTCACAGGTTGGGATCCCAGGCGTGGACCTACGAACACTTCTCAAGCCATTCTATGGTGGTGTCCCATATAAAGCAGAGGAAGATGGGCATGGATGCTAGCCCAGGGCCGATCTTCCTTAGCAAAAAGAGGAAGATTGGCAAGAGATGTTAGAACAGGGCTAATCTTCGCCACACACACACAAAAAAAGTGTAAAAATATCTTCATGATTATAACGAAAATTTAACTAGAAAATTTCTATTTATATTACTATGCATAGTACTATCATGATGTCTGTTCTCTATGTGCCACACCCCACTTGCCACTCTTTCCCTGGAAAAAAGTATTCCTAGAAATAGAAAAGGAGAGAATACTGCCATTATTCAATCTGCACTGCCTTGGGAGTTGGAATATGATATTTCTGTTATAGACCCTGTAAAGTTGGGATGACCATATACTCAATCAATTTAACCTAAATCTCTCATTAGCTTTTCTGATGGTTAATTTTATGTGTCAATTTGGCTTAGCCTCAGTGCCTAGTTATCTGGCCAAACATTCTAGATGTTTCTACAGGGTATTTTTAGATGAGATTTTCATTTAAATTCGTGAACTTTGAGTAAAGCATCATTGACTCTTCTTGGTTCTACAGCAGACGGCCTGTGGACTCAATGTCAGCTACATGCTGGTGTCAAAAATGGACATGATTGCTGCCTTCATCCAAAGTCCAGTGGGAGAGAGGAAGTATGAGTGAGCAAGAATCAGATAGGATAAGAATTGAGAGAGGAATAAGTCAGGCAGAGTAAAGAACATGGGATAAAAGACAGAGCTTTATGCGATCAAGAAGATAAAAACAGCCATCATGTTTGGAGCTGTAAGATCATTGATTCAAGTGATTTTGAAGACTCCACTTCCACTTCTAAAGATTTCAGCTACAATACCAGAGCATTATTAGCTACACCAGCTATTTTGATTATATCCTAAGTGCAATGAGATACTGTTTAAAGGTTTGGGGTAGGCTAGTCAGGTGAATATATTTCAAAAAGAAGTGTGACGCCATGTGAGGAATGAATTGGAGGGTGTTTTGTGGGAAAAAGGAGGAAATTGCTGGGGTACATGGAAATGAAGGCGGCATGGAATGGGGCGGGGAAGGGAAGATAGAGAGCAGTGATGAGAAGAAGTATGTTTGCGAAATATAGTAAAGAGAAATTAGTAAGGTAGAAGGTAAAAAAGAGGATGTTCAAGGGTGAAAACCTAAACAACTTTGGAAGAAAGGATGCAAAAGGAGTAAATATTTTTAGTCTTTGCATGTCTAAAGATATCTATTCTCTCCTCACTTGATGAATTTGATGGGCATAAACTTCTAGGATGAAAATTATTTTCTTTCAGAACTTGAAGGTCATGTTCCGTTGTATTGCCGGCTACCAGTGCTTTTGAGGTATGAGAGGAATCAATTTTTATGTCTCTTCCCATAGACACTGAGGTGGAGAAGTATGAATTTGTTTCGATTTCTGTGTATTTGTGGGAAACTTGCTTTTTATTTTAAGCTGCTATAGTTTTTTCTTCATCCCTAGTATTTTCAGATTTCACAAAAACATGTCTTTATTTACATCACTGCATTCATTTTGCTGGTACTGGGTACAATCTCAGTATGGCAGTTTTGAGTTCTTCCATTCTAGCAATTTTTCTTGTACTATTTTTGAATAAACTTCTTTCCATCATCACATACACACACACGTGCACACACGCACAGAGAGATATAAGTAGGATTTTGGACATAATTGCTTGATACTCTTATTTTATTATGCAGATACTATTTCTCTCCTCTTTTTATTTTTATATTAAGAGAAATTTTCGCGACTTTATCGCCCCACCCTTGTACTGAATCATCAATTTCCCTCTCATTTTAACCTCCATGGCATCTTTCATGTGCCAGGATTTCCCCTATTCTTGCCGTCCTGTTTTTATTTGGTGGACTCAATGCTTCCTCTCAATTTTCTGGGCTTGTTAAGTGTAGATTCTTCTACTCCCATGGTTCTCACGCTGCCCTGGATTTTTCCCTTTACATTTTCCAGCTTCATTTCCAGCCCTGAATGCTAACATCTGGCACCTTTAA